GCTGCCCTGGGTGGGGGAACCGCATGTGGACACCCCCACTGGGGCCTTCGGTGGAGCTCCCTATGGGGCCACGAAACGCTGCCCTGGGTGGGGGAACCGCATCACCTGGGGCGGTGGAGCTCCGGGGCCACGAACGCTGGGGGAACCGCATGTGGACACCCCCACTGGGTTCGGTGGAGCTCCCTATGGGGCCACGAAACGCTGCCCTGGGTGGGGGAACCGCATGTGGACACCCCCAGGAGGAGGGAGGAGGAGAGGAGGAGAGGAGAGGACGCGGGCACCGTCTCTTCAAAACGAGGACCCAACACCACAGGATGGTTGGGAAAAAAGGTCGACGGAAGACCCGAACAAACATAACAAAGCTCGTCCTTCGCGCTCGCGCTGCTTAGCGTCCTAAGCGTTCGCGCTGCTCTCTGGGTTTGGCCTATTGGGGGGATCTCTTGGGCGCCTCTTGGAGCCTCCTCGGGGCCTCCAGGAGCCTCTTGGGACCTTTTTGGGGCGGAAGGGTAGGATTTTCGGTTCGGGCTCCCAGTCTTGGGCTCCTCTTGGAGCCGTCTTGGAGCTCTCCTAGGTCGTACTGGGGACCTCTTGGGGTGTCTTGGCCCCCTCTCGGGTTGTCTTTGAAGCCTCTTGGGCCGTTTTGGGGCTCTCTTGGGGGCATCTTGTACCATCGTCACCGCTATGAAGACCAACAGGTCGTAGATGCTAAACAATATACGTTTTCCCATGCAAAATCAATGAATGTGGCCTCTTGAGACCCTCTTGGAAAGCCTCTTGGGGGCCTCTTGGGGCGTTTTCGCGGACTCTTGGGCACTGTGAGAGCCGTCTTGGGCGTCCAAGGGCTAGCTTTGAGCGCTCCGGGGCCGCCATGGAACGCTTGGGGAGCCTCATGGGGCCCTCTGGGCACGCATTGGCCGCCCTTCGGGCTGTCTTGGGCCGTGTTGGTAGCCTCTTCGGGCCGTCTTTGGGGCCTCTTGTGCCGTCGTGCACGCCGTGAAGACCGAAAAGACGTAGATGCTAAACATGCACGTTTTCCTTTGCAAAATCAATGATTTGGGCCGCTTGGGGCTCCCTTGGGAAGTCTCTTTGGGCGTCGTAGCGGCCTCTTGGGCTCTATGGGAGCCATCTTGGGTGTCCAGGGGCGATCTTTGAGAGCCCTGGGGTCGTCTTGGACCGATTTGGGAGCCTCTTGGGGCTCCGTGGACACGTCTCGGCCGCCTCTTGAGCACGCCTTGGCCGCCTCTGGGGTTGTCTTGGGCTCCTCTTGGGCCGTGTTGGGGGCCTCATGGGCCGTCTTGGGGCTGTCGTTGGGGCCTCTTGTACCCTCGTGCACGCCGTGAAGACAGAAAAGACGTAGATGCTGAAAATGCACGCTTTCCTCTGCAAAATCAATGATTTTGGCCGCTTGGGGCTCTGTCGGAAAGCAACTTGGGGCGTTGTAGCGGCTTCTTGGGCTCAATGGGAGCCATCTTGAACGTCCAGGGGCGATCTTTGAGCGCCCCAGGGCCATCTAGGACCGGTTTGGGGGCCACTTGCGCCTCCCTGGGCAAGTCTTGGCCGCCTCTTGGCCCGGAAAGGAGCGCTCCCGGAGCCCCGGGTCGGCCATGGGGGACGCAGGTACCGCCTGGGTTCCCCGACGCATCCCACCCCTGATTCCGCGGCCACTCCCCGCTTGCTTGGCTCGCCCGTCAACTGGGGGGGGGGCCAGCGGCGGGGAACCTTTCCTTCCACGCTGGCATGAAGAAGCCAGGTGGCCACGGGCACTCGGCTGCGGGCTCCTCCTCGCCCACCCGCCATCTGCTCGACATCCTTCTCCTTCTCCTCCTCGTCCTCCTCTTCTGCTGGGAGTGGACCGACAGCAGGACAGTCAAGAGGACGGAGGTGGAGGAACCAGGGAAGCAAAGGAGCGATGCTTGAGCGGGCACTCTCGCTGCTGAACTCTGCGCGCACGATGTGGGCTGACGCTGCTGTCCACCTCGGCAGGCGATGGGGATGTGGAGTCGGCGGCGACGATAGGGGCGGATAGCCCAGGGGCGGACATTACACGTATTCGCCCGGAAGCCTCTTTGAAGACATAGATCATCGGCGCACCTGAATACATGTATTGCTCTCCTCTGAGCTATTCGCCCCTGCCGTCGCCTCTGATGGAGGGCGAAGGCCAAGAGCAAGTGGTCGCCTTGGCCATGGGTCCGGCGAGCTGGCGCCCCCCTTTGCGGCAGCCAAGGTACGCCCGCCGTCCGGGTGCTCGAGCACAGAACATGCACGGATGAAAAGCGTGGACAGCGAAGACAAAGCAGAAAAAGGAAGAGTGGGGTGCGAATCAAGCGAGAGAGAGAGAGAGAAAACAACAAATGGAGGGAGAGTTGGCCGCAGGTCGTGCCCATCACGCTGCGATCAGTAACCTGAATGAGTTGATCGGCCGGATCTTCCTGCGCAAGTTCCAGAAGGCTTTCGACAAGGATTTCGCCCGAGAGCAAGCACATCAGCCGTGCTGTTGTCACGTGCCGGGCCGCCACGGACGGTGCGCAGGAGGGGCCGAAAACCAGCGGGTCCCTGGTCCGCGAGATGCAGACGAAAGTTGGCAGGCAGATGGATACCAGCGATCAGTAGGCTTCTGAATCGATTTTGCCTCTTGTTCCGAGATTGATGGTGCCGACCGGACTTGTAACGGCGCCGCTGTTGGCCACGCCGGTAATTCCAGTGGCCGTCAAGGGCGCCGCTGTTTCTGGCAGTTGGACGTGGAAGCTGCTGAATCTGCCAGCATGTCGTGACGGCGCCGCTGCTGGTCGTTGCCTTCCCTCCCCTCTCTTCTTCGTCCTCCTCTTCCCCGTCCCTGCCCTGTCCCTCCTGGCATTGGCCACTGGCCTGCGAGCTTCTAGACTTACAGTTCGCTCTAAGGCGAACGAACAATGACATAAACATAAGAACTCGGAGGTCCGTGCGGATTTCTCGGATCGGCGCTGGAAACCCCCATCCCTGGCGCGCGCGGCGCGCCAGGGGCGGCGCCGGAGGCGCCGCCAGGGGGGCCCCAGCGCCGATCCGAGAAATCCGCGCGGAACTCCGAGCTTTTGTGCTTACATGTCATTCTTCGCCCCCCTATGGGGAGGCGGTGAGCAAGGAGGAAGCAAACGTGGCGTGAGCATAGACTCTCGGAGCCCCCGCGCGGATATCGTGGGCCGGCTTCCCCCCTCCCGGGCGCGAGGAGCGCGCGCCGGTGGGCGGCGCTGGCGGCGCCACCCAGGGGGTCCAGCGCCGGTGCAAGAGATCAGCGCGGAGCTCCGACGGCTTCTGGTTGCGCAACTTTGCGTTAGGTCGGGCATGTCACGATACAGGCGGATTTGGGGAGGAACATAAATCATAGTTCAACAATGCTCAAGCATTGTCAACCGTAGTCCAAAGATCGTCCCCTGACCATTGTTTGACTACGTTTGAGAGTTTTCCTCGTGCCGAGGGACGTGTCCGACACAAGCTTATGCTTGCGCGACTTGGCTTCGAGTCTTCACTGTGGCGGTAGCTGCGTGTCCGCGCGTGGGCGTTCTGTGGCCGGCGGGCGTGGAGGCCTGTGAACAAGCGCGTCCCCCTACTCGCAAAGCTACTGCTCGCAAATGGCCTCGATCCGCCGCTGGGGATTCAGGATACGTGATATAGACGAGGGCATGCTTGTCTCGAACGTCTGCGAGTAGGCACTCTGCGAGTAGTGGAACGCGCTCGGTGATTTAAGAGCCAGAGCAGACGCCGCTGCTGTCGTGGTCTGCCGCCTGTTCGCCCGTGGCGTCAGGCTTCAGGCTTAGAGAGTGCCGGCTCCAGGAAGCAGCGCCACGCGGCAACACGCTACGGTGCCAGTGTCCGCAGGATCAGAGAAATCACTGTGCCTTACCCTGAGAACGAGAAAGCTCCTCAAGATGTGTCCGCCAGGCTGCTTTGCTGCGAGCTGTGGCATGCCAGTCGCCATGCCGGGGTGTCCCCATCTCCAGACGCGGACCTTGCGGCCATGCATCTGGTTGCTCGCCGTTCGGCGCGGCCCTCTGCTGGATTCATGTGTTGTTTCTGTGCGGCAGAATCCTGTGCATGACCTGTTCGCGATCGTAGTCGACCAAGCGTGCGATATAACCAGCCCACGCGACCACGTGTTCCAAATAGGTTTCGCCCCACTCTTGGAAGGCGTACTGTTCTTCCGTTCGCTTGGTGTTCTGTCCAAGGCACTTCATGAAAGCTTCGGCCGTCTCCGCCAGACGCTTCCGTGACGCCATCATCATTCTTAGCATCGGCTGACTCTAGCAAGATTGACCATCCGAGAACGGTATCATCTTCATCATCGTTCCGAGCATCGCCATCCGGAGCATCATCATTTGAGGCCTGCTTGGCAGTCAGACTCCAGCTCCCGCTGCACCGAAAAAGGAAAGTGGATACGAGCGAACGGAGGAGCTGCAGGCCCGCCCGCATCGGCGCGCCCGTGGAGGCTGGTCCGCGGTGGCGCCAGGAAGGAGGGAAGAAGGCGCTCTTTATCAAGGGAGTCGTCGTCCTCCTCCTCCTCCTCCTCCTCCTCCTCCTGCCTCTCCTCCTCCTCCTCCTTCCTGCTCCCTCCTCCTCCCTAATCCTCCCTGCTCCCTCCCTTCTCTATCCTCTTCCTGCCCTCCACCAGCGCCACCACGGGCACGCTGCCTGGAGGTGCGCCTGGGGGGCAGCACGCTCGCGGCGGAGGTCGGCACAGAGGTGTCCGTCGCGAGAGCTTCTGAGATGGCCCTGCGGGCGGATTGGCCGGGCTGGCGTGGGAGACTTGCTGCGAACGGCTCTGGGAGTATGACGAGGAGGAGGAGGAAGAGGAGGAGGAGGAGGAGGAGGACAAAAAGAAAGAACGCACGACAAGGACGAATGACACGGAAGAGCGGGAACGGGAGGATATGATGGCGGAGGCCAGGAGAAGAGGAGAGAAGAGGGGGTGAGGAGTAGGAGGAGGGTGAGGAACCGAAGGAGGAGGAGGAGGAGGAAGAGGAGAAGCGCTGGCAACGAGACTTGTTCAGGGACGTCCGCGTTCAGTCGTCCCCGGTCAGCCGGCCGTAGCCCCTCGCGCACGCCTCGCGGCAATCGGCGCTCAGCAGAGGATCTTCGGCAGACTGGCTCAGCACCTGTCGGGCCAGCCAATACCGTAACCTCCCCCTCGGTGTCCATCTTTGGGGGGGGCGGGGCCTTCTCTGGGCTTCTGGCAAAGCCCTGTGGGCACCTGGAGACGGTACGGCTTCGGGCGGAGGAGGAGGAGAGGAGGAGGAGAAGGAGGAGGAGGAGGGGGAGGAGGAGGAGGAGGAGGAGGAGGAAGAGGATGAGGAGGAGGGAGCCCCCAGGAAGCCCCCAGGTGGTCCCAGCTGGACTCGACAGCCCCCCAGCGGTAGTCCCAGCTGGCCCCAACAGGCACCGAACGTGTCCACTGGGGACTTTTGTGGAGCTCCCCATGGGGCCACGAAACGTGTGAACGGTGAGCCGAAACGGCTTGACGTCCACATGCGAACGTGTCCTCTGGGGACTTTTGTGGAGCTCCCTATGGGGTCACGAAAAGTGCGAAGGGTGTGCCGAAACAGGCGTGACGCCCACGTGCGAGCGTCGCCACTGGGGCCTTCGGCGCAGCTCCCGCTGGTGCCACCATCCTCGTGAGGGAGGTGGGGGCAGGGCAGCGAGAAGGAGGACGCGCGGCGCTGTCCCTTAAAAACGAGGACCCAACAACACAGGATGGCTGGGAAACACTTCGTCACCTGGGGAGGGGGGGCCCGCGGAGAGAACTCGGCGCAGCCGCAGGCGCCTGCGCTTTCGGAAGCTGCCCCTGGGGCCTGGTGCACGCCGTTCTTGACGAGCTCCGCGTGGCAGTCCCGGTTCTCGCACAGGACCGCGAGGACGGGTTAGGAGCGAGGATCGAGGAGGATTCAGGATCGAGATTCGAGGATAGAGATTCGAGGAGGAGGAGGATCGAGATTCGAGGAGGAGGAGGAGGATCGAGGAGGACCGCGAAGACGGCGAGCGCGGACTCGCGCACCTCCGCCGCCTCCTCCCCGCCCACGCTGGCGAGGAGGGCCTTGCTGAGGGGCGCGTCCTCGCAGACCTCCTCCTGCAGGGGCCTGCACCTTCATGGGGGGCAGGGGGGGACCATTTCTGGTACGTGTAGATGTTTTGGACTGCTCTTATCTGTTGTTCTACGTTTCTATCAGGTTTTGCAGGGGAGATCATCGAAGAAGAAAAACACACGGCACAGGCACAGGCCGTCGAGGGCCCCCACGGAGGTGCTTGGATCGGGGATGGCGCGCGCAGCGCCGGGGGCCGCGCAGGAAGCGGCGCCGCCAGGGGATCCAGCACAGATGCACGAAATGTGCGCAGGCCTTCGAACGTTTGTGCTTATTACGCCTTTTTGTCCGTCTCTTCGAAATGGGGCAGGAGGGAAAAACGGGGGGAGGATGAGATGAGGAGGTTAGGAGATGAGGGGATGTTTTTTCGTTTCTTCGATATGCCTTCACTTCTTCGAGATGAGTTGAGGGGGTGGAACGAGGTCTTGCGTCTGGCTTGGAGGGGTCTACGGGCTTCTGGGGAGTCCAGGGGCTCTGGGGCACATGGCGATGTCCCTGATCATGCTGAACGCGAGGGCGCGCGTCTGCGGCGGCTCGATGTCCGCAACACCCTCCATCAGGGCTCTGCGTCCAACCTGCTGAGAGAGAGAGAGAGAGAGAGAGCTCTGGAGGACGATGAGTAGGAGGAGGAGGAGGAGGAGGAGGAGGAGGAGGAGGGAGGAGGAGGAGGAGGAGGAGGGAGGAGGAGGAGGGAGGAGGAGGAGGAGGAGGAGGAGGAGGGAGGAGGAGGAGGAGGAGGAGAGGGAGGAGGAGGAGGAGGAGGAGGAGGAGGAGGAGGAGGATGAGGAGGACGCGGTGGAGACTTGGGAGCTGAGAGGAGGAGCGCGCCGCGCCCCGCCTTGTCGTGCCACAGCTGCTCCCGCCCGGCGTCGTCCGCCGCCTGCCCCTGGAAGTGCCCCAGCGCCCCGGCGACGACGCGCACGTGGCTGTCCATGCACGAGCCCCGGAAGCCGGCCTCCAGGGAGAGGTCCTGCGAGGCCTCGAGGAAGGTGCAGTGCACCTCAGAGCGTGAATTGCCTCCCCCGCTTTCGCTTCCAGGCAAAGCCGAGCCATACCACGCGCCTCCTCGTCCAGCGGCCCGACCAGTACAGGCCGCAATTTGGCATCGTTTGGTATCTCTTGGAAGCGAGGGTGGTCAAAAGCGAGGTAGGTTTGTTTTCCCCCGAGCACCCCGGCGACGAAGAGGTCCGCCGCGTTCAGGGCCTCGCGGGACAGCGACGCGAGCGCCTCCACGGCCGCGTTGCGCACCTCCGCGGGCTGCTTCACGTCGGCGTTCGCCAGCAGGCTCGCCGCCAGCCGCTCCTCCGCCAGCATCCAGCGGCGGTTGCCGGGCGCTCTGGCCAGATCCTCAGAGATCCGATGTGCCAACTTTTCCACGCGCGGCCCACGGACGTCTCGACGATTTCCCAACGGCCGGCTTGGCACTCTGAGCTGTTTCTGGCGACCCCAGGGTCCGCCGAGGGCCCACGGAATTGGCGAAAAACACCCGCATCGAATTTCCAATGTGTTGGAGGTCTGGGGAAGCAGCCTGGTCTTCCGGGTCATAACTCGGCTCCCGGGCGGCCGTTCGGAGCGATCGGGGCACCCTTGGTACGCCCTCGACGAGGCGAAGATGATGGAAGGCATCCCGAGGCTGGAAAATCTCCAAGCACCGACGACGACATCTGAAATCCCCTGGCTCAGATCTGTATACCACGTTGGAGGTCGGTCGTGGCTCGTGCCCCCGGGGGTCCAGACGCACCAGTTTTCCAAGTTGCGTCCAGCCGTGGCGACTGGGGGGCCCCTCAAAGGCCACCTACCGTTGTGTCAACTCGCCTTCCTCTGCCGGCTACACGCAAAAGTGGCCCTAGGCAAAGGGGGCGCAAGGTGGCCAACTCCAAGCGCGCAAGCAGCCCCCCTCGCATCGCGCTCAGCGATCGGGGGGACCCCCATGAGCCCGCACCAAAAGGTAACTCTGGCATAGGGTGACTCTTACGTGTCGTCGACTCTGGTCCTCGAGCAGCCGCACGGCCGGCGCCCGCACCCGCGCCGGCTCCACCTGTGCGGCGCACAGCAGCACGATGTCGCGCCGCGCCTCGTCGCGCCAGAACTCCTCGCGCGAGGCGTCGTTCGACACCCTGGCCTTTCGTGCATGTGTGTATGTATGTATGTCTGTCTGTCTGTCTGTCTGTCTGTCTGTCTGTCTGTCTGTATGCATGTATGTATGTATGTATGTATGTATGTATGTATGTATGTATGTATGTATGTATATAACTCGGTATGTATGTATATGTTTATGTGCGTACTTGTATGGGTGTGTATGTTTGTATGTGTGCATGCGAGTTATGTATATATTATGTACATGTGTAGGTAGGTACGTCGGTCGGTACGTAGGTGTGTAGGAAGATACGTACGTACGTACGTAAGTGTGCATGCATTCATGTATGCGTGTATGTATGTATTTACATGGTATGCATGCACGCAAATATGTATGTACATGTGCATGCATGTATGTGTGTTCGCATACAGGTGTTATTACATGTATGTGTGTATGCATGCATGGATGGTTGTATGCATGTATATGTGTGTGCGTATGTGTATGTGTGTATATCTGTAGGTTTGCATGTACGATATGTGTAGTGCGTCTGTGTGGTGGTAGGTAGGTCGGTCGGTAGGTAGGAAGGTACGTACGCACTTACGTACGTGTGCATGCATGCATGCATGCATGCCTGTGTGTATGGATATATGTAAGTCTGTATGTACCGACATGTGTGTACGAATGTACGTATGTACGTGCGTATGGATGTTTGTATGCATTCATGTATGTACGTGTGGGTGTATGCATGTACGTATCGACGTGTATCGATGTACGTATGTATGTTTGTAGGTATGTATGGTGTTTACTTGTATGTGTGTATGCACGCATCCATGTATGAATGTATGGATGCATGCATGCAAACATGTACGTATATATATGTATGTGTGAAAGTGTGCATGTGTATATGTGTGATGTGTGAAGGCGTGTCTATGTAGGTAGGTAGGTCGGCAGGAAGGAAAGTACGTGCATACGTACGTACGCATGCATGATTGCATGTATGTATGCATATATGCATGTACGTACGTATGTATGTGTGCATGCATGTATGTATGCATGCACGCATGCATGCATGCATGCATGCATGCATGTACATGTATATGTATGTATATCGGTGTATATATGTATGTATGCACGTACGTACGTACGTGGAGATGTCTGAACGTTTGTATGCATGCATGTATGGTAGGGTGTGTGCATATTTGTATGTGTGTATGCTTGGATGTGTGTATGTAAAGTGTAAGTGGAATAGGTGTATATGTATATGTAGTCAGCTGGGTATGTATACAGGAAGGTGCGTGCGTACGTATGCATGTAGGCAGGCACGCATGCATGCATGTATGCCTGTACGTACATCTGTACGTATGTACGGGCGTACGGATGAGCGTGTGCACGCATGCAGTATGTACGTATGAATGAATCGATGTGTGCCTTCATGTATGTATGTGTGCATGTATCCATGCATGTGTGGAGGAAGGGCGCCCGTGGTAGACTCCCAAATTGGGGGGGGGGGGGGGGGGGCTTAGCTGCCCCACCTCCTTGGACCTCCCCTGCCGGAAGCCCCCCTCCCTCCATTTTTGTTCCGCCCCTCGGAAGCTCCCCCCCCCCCCGCTTCGCGCTCCGGAAGCTCCCCCCCCCCCCCCTCCCTGTCCAAAGGGGGGGGAAGGGTTGCCCCCTTTCTTGAAGCTCCCTCTTCCTGCTTTTCCGCCCCTTCGCGCTCCGGAACTACCCACTCGCTATCCAAAGGGGGGGGGTTTTGCCCCCCCCCCCCCCTTTGAACCTCCCTTTGCCAGAAGCCCCCCCTCCCCTTTGGGCTAGAGGAGGGGGGGGGACTTGGAAGCACCCCCCTTTGATTGAAGGAAACGCCGAAGACCAAAAGGGTGCTGAAAACCAACAGAGCGCCGAAAACCAACGAGCCACCAAAAACCCTCAAAAAAATAAAAACCAGAGGCGCGCCGAATACCGAAGGAACGCCGAAAACCGAAAGGGCGCCGAAAGCCGAAGGTGCGCCGAAAACCACAAGGACATCGAAAACCAAAGGAGCGCCGAAAACCAAAATGAGCGCCGAAAACCAAACGGGCGCCAAAAACCAAAGGACGCCGGAAACCAAAAGGGAGCCGAACACCAAAGGAGCGCCGAGAACCAAAAAAGCACCGAAAAGCAAAGGGCGCCGAAAACCAAAAGTCGCCGACAAACTAACGAACGCCGAAAACCAAGGAGGCGCCGAAAACCATAGACGGCTCAGAAAACCAGCCGGGCGCAGAAAACCAAAGAGGCGCCGAAAACCAAAAGGGGCGCCGAGAACCAGAGCAGCGCCGAAAACCAAAACGGCGCCGAAAACCAAAGGAGCACCTAAACCCAAAAGGGCGCCAAAAACGCAAATTTCGCCGAATTTGAAAAGGACGCCAGAAACCAAAGGGGAGCCGAAAACCATCACGGCGCCGGCAGCCAAAGGGCCGCCAAACACCAAAGGGCACTTAAAACCAAAACGGTGCCGAAAACCAATGATGCGCCGAAATCCAAAGGGTGCGAAGAAAACCGAAACGGCGCTGAAAACCAATACGGCGCCGAAAATCAAAGTAGCGCCGAAAACCGAAAGGGGGCGCGCCGAAAACCAATACGGCGCCGAAAACAAAAGGAGCACCGAAAACCGAAAGGGAGCAGAAAACCAAAGGGCCTCCGAAAAATAGGGAGGCGCAAAAAAGCGAAAAGGCAATGACAACCAGAAAAGAGCCGAACACAAAAAAGACGCCGAATACCAAAGATGCGCCGGAAGCCAAAAGGGCGCCCAAGACAAGGGCCTCGAAAGCCAAGTGAGCGCCGAACACCCAGGGGCGCCGAACACCCAAGGGGCGCCGAAAACCAAAAGGAGCGCCGCAAACCAAAGGGGCGCCGAAAATGAACGATGCACCGAAAACTGGAAGGGCGCCGACACACCACAGGAGCACCGATAGCCAAAAGGGCCAGGAAAACGACAAAGCTCCGAAGACGGACAGGGCGCCGAAAACCAAAGGAGTACCAAAAACCCAAGGGGGACAGGTGAGAACTCAAACAACTCGCAAAAACCTTCAGGAAATTCAAATTGTTTGCATCCTCAGGGTCCTGTTGCAGTCCTGTTGGGCTCTCTCGGGGCCCTCTTGGGCCGTCCTGGGGCTCTCTTAGCTAGTCTTGACGCTTTCCTTCGGGGCTCTAAAGACCCTCTTGGGCGCCTCATGGGGCCCAATCGGGCCTCTAGGCGCCCTGTTGGGCCCTCGTGGGGCCCTCTAGGGCCGTCTGGGGGCCTTCTTCGGGCGCCTTGGGGCCCTCTTAGGGACCCCTCGGGCCATCTTGAGAAGATCTTGGGGGCCTCTTGAGTGAGGAGTGTTCCGAGATGTGTGACGTCCACGTGCGAAAGTCGCCGCTGGGGCCTTGGGTGGAGCTCCCAACGGGGTAACGAATCGTGTAAGGGGGTGAGCCGAAACAGGCGTGACGCCCACATGCGAAAGTCGCCGCTGGGCCCTTTGGTAGAGATCCCCATGGCGCCACGAAACGTAGTGGTGTGCCGAAGCGGGCGTGGCGCCCACGAGCGAACGTCGCCACTGGGGTCTTGAGTGGAGCTCCCAACGGGGCCACGATCCTCGTGTAAGGTGTGCCGAAACGGGCGTGACGTCCACATGCGAACGTCGCCACATGTGCCTTACGTAGAGCTTCCTAAGGTGCCACAATTCGTGTGCGGGGTATGCGCGGTGTGCCGAAACGGGCGTGACGCCCACGTGCGAACGTCGCCGTTGGAACCTTGGGTGGAGCTCCCTATACCTATGGCGCCACGAAGCGTGTAAGGGGGGTGCCGAAACGGGCGTGACGCCCACATGCGAACGTCGCCACTGGAGCCTTGGGTGGACCTCTCAACGGGGCCGCGAACCGTGCGAGGGGTGTGCCGAAATGGGCGTGACGCCCACGTGCGAACGTCGCCGCTCGGGCCTTCAGCACAGCTCCGTAGGGGCCACGATCCTCGTGAACGGCGTGCCGAAGCAGACACGTGGAGGACAGAGGCAGGGATAGGGGGAGAGGGGGCAGCAGGGGGAGTGGAGCCCGGCGCTGCGGATTCAACACGAGGACCTGGCATCACAGGAGGATGGCTGGGAACCCCTCCTGTTCGAAATCTGAAAGATGGAAAGATCGATCGAAGCCGTTCGCTCGAAAGTCGTTCGATGCCCTGGCCTTGTTTGACCCATGTTGTTTTATGTTGTTTCGATCGGTCAATCCATCCATCAAAGACGTTCGATCAACAATCGTTCGATACGGTCATGTTTAAAATACTGCCAATTGTATGCGTCGGTCGGTACATCCATCGAGGTCATTCGGCCGAACGGCGTTCGATCTCCGGGCCTGTGTGCATGCTGTTATTTGCTTGCTCGGTCAATCGATCGATCCAGAACCACAAGTCGTTCGATACCCGATCCTGGTACATCTTGTTATCTGTGAGCCTGATCGATCGAAAGATCGAGGTCGTTCGATCGAGGCCTAAGACGAAGCCAGGACAATGACAAAATCGGATAAGGATCAATCGAAAATCTCTGAGGCCTGGCGGATCTGGAGGACATCTCGGGCGCCGCGGCCTTTTCGGAGCGTCCCAGAAAGCTCTGAGAGCTTTCCGCAACGCTCTGGAACGGATCTCATCCTCGTCCTAGCACGGCCCAGAAGGTCGTTCGATCCACAGTCGCTCCATCGACCCGTCGGAAAACGTTCGCATAATTCATCGAGGTCGTTCTACCGAGAGTCGCTCGACATGAGGAGGAGGCGGAGGAGGAGGAGGAGGAGGGGGACGAGGAATGGAGGGGCAGAGTGCGCTGGCCTGGAGGGCGCCGACCTTCCCTGCGAGGATGTTGTGGCGCCCCGCCGCGCAGGAGGCGCGGACCTGGTCGTACAGCGACCCGTCCTCCGAGAGGGCCCCGAGGATGTCCTCAGACGACGGGCGAGACTCAGAGGAGGAAGAGTAGGGGAGCGAACAATGGCATAAACATAAAACCTCGGAGGTCCGCGCGGATTCCTCGGATCGGAGCTGATGCCCCCTGGCGGTGCCACTGGTGCCGCCCCTGGCGCGCTCCGCGCGCCAAGGAGGAGGTCCAGCGCGGAACCGAGAAATCCGCGCGGACCTCCGAGCTTTGTATGTTTATGTCATTGTTCGTTCCCCTAAAAAGGTACCCATGCAGTAAAGGCCAATCCACAGGAAACCTTCCACAAGAAACCCAACCCTGACATCCCAGGACGTCCATTGATTTTTGGCGTGGGCACGTCACGCCTTCCGTGGCAAAACCATCGAAACCCAAGAAACCTTGGGCACCCTGGAGGCGAGGAGGGTGTTTCTTGGCATAGGCCTCCACTGTACCCATATCGCTAACCCTTTCCCCGTTTCTCGGAGGAGGAGGAGGAGGTACCCATGCCGGGCCGGTACCCTTCCCCCAGTTTCCCTTTTGTTGGGCCTCCTGGGAGGCCTTCGTCGCCACCGCTGGATTCGCTTCGAAGTGCTGGTCAGAACGCACCCCGGGGAGAGGTCCAGGGATTAGCTGCATCGGTACTTCGCAAGTCCCCCAAACACCCAGGCATCCATCGGCGGCGACTCGGGGCGAAAGCGAGAAGGGGCGGACCTTCTCAGAAGGCTCCGAGGTCCCCCGGCCTTCTGAAAGGTTTCCTGAGCCTATCACGAAGACGCAGGGAACTTCTCAGAAGGCGCGAGGGCTTCTGAGAAGTCCCGCCGCCTTCTGAGAAGGCCTTGCCCTGCGCACTTCCCCCCCTCGCTCGCCGCCGACAAAACGGCATACACACAGCCAAGCATCCAGAGGGACGCGCGTGCACAGTCGGTTTCAGCACTGGCACCTCCTGAACAAAAAGGGCTACGACATGAAAATGGAGGAAAAGGACGAGGACGAGGACGAGGCCGAGGACGAGGACGAGGCCGAGGACGACGACACCGAGTTCGATGACGACGATGACGACGACGACGACGACGACGACGACGTCGACGACGACGACAGCGACGACGACGACGACGACGAGTTCACGACGCGAACAGGCTGGGGGGGCAGGGGAGGCAAACGGCAGGGCCCCCCTATCAACGGGGGCATCGGTACACGAGTGCTTCGGCTTGTGCATCTGCCCCGGCTTACTGTGCCCCCGTCTGCGGAGCCCAGGGACCCCTGAACAAGTGGCATCGTCGAACGTGGAGATCGGCATTCCCCTTGCCACCGTTTGCTGTGAACCTGTCTCCCGCGCCCTGCAAACGGCACAAACAGAATAATAATGATAATAATAGTAATAATAACAATGATAATAAAATACTAATAATAACGATAATAATAATGATAACAATAATAATAATACGAATAATAATGACAAAACAGGAGGGCTCGAGCTAAGCAGCGTCATCCACGTTCGCTTTGTTCCCCACCCGACACGTCGGGGTCGCTGGATTCTAAGAACAGACCTCTCCCCACCCGTCCACCCTGCATACCGCGGCCGCCAGACCCCCAAGTCCGCCGCATCCCCGAGACTCCCGCCCCTCCAGACCCGACTCGCCCACTCTGCATATTTGCGGCCGCCAGATCCCCAGATTCACCGAGAGCCCCCGACACTTTCGCCCTCCACACCCGACACGCCCACCCTGCACACCGCGGCCGCCAGATCCCCGGGTCAACCGAGAATCCCCGAGACTCCCGCCCCTGTGGGGATTACAGAGCACAACGAACAGCACACGCCACAACTGAAAATAACATGGCAGACCAGAACATAATGACTGAGGACAGAGCATAGCATACCAAAGCACAGCATCACATGGCACATCACAGCTCGGCGCAGCGAAACATAGCAGCGAATACCATTCCATAGCATGACATACTACAGCATCGTATGGCATAACATGCCATGACATAGCACATCGTCACAAACATACCATACATTACCATGACAGCTCATGGCATGACAGAGCGTGACATCAGACATAACAAGAGTGAGGGGTCCGAACGGCCAGTCATTGTCCCTGGGTGCGTGGCTGAAGTGGAAGTCCATGGTGAGGATGGTGCTTGCTGCGTTGTTGTTGTTGGTGGTGTTGTCGTTGTCGTTGTCGTTATCGTTGTCGTTGTTGTTACTGTTGTTGTTGTTGTGGTTGTGGTTGTTGTTATTGTTGTTGTTGCTGTTGCTGTTGTTGTTGTGTGCTGTCGTCGTCCCCCCTGCGACCCACCCGCGACCCACCCCGCGACCCACCCCGCGACCCACCCCTCGACCAACCCGCGACCCACCCGCGACCCACCCGCGACCCACCCCGCGACTCACCCGCGACCCACCCCGCGACCCACCCGCGACCCACCCGCGACCCACCAGCGACCCAGTTGCGACCCACCCGCGACCCATCCCGCGACCCACCCGACGACCAACCCCGCGACCCACCGCGACCCACCCCGCGACCCACCCGCGACCACCCCGCGACCCATCCGCGACCCACCCGCGACCCACCCGCGACCCACTTGCGACCCACCCGCGACCCATCCCGCGCCCCACCCGCGGCCGATCCACATTTGTTTGAAGAAGACATCGGCGCCTGCGGCAGGCTCGTTGTATAATGTGTGAAATGCTGGCGCCTGCGGCGGGCTTCTCCAGAGTCTCGCAGACTGCCGACGTCCCCACCGCTCTCTCACTCTTATCCGCATCTGCGGGGTGCTACGTAACATGGAATACCAGCATGACACATCATCGAGCACACAAGGCATAACACAGCATTGCATGTCAGAGCGGAACATAACTAAGTTTATCATGACAGGTCCTTGCATCACACACCAGAATTGTGGTACTACCTATACGACAACCCATCGGGTGATAGGGAAGGTCTAGGGGGAAGGAACCAACATGTCACTCCATCGAGCTCCTAATCGACCTCACTATCGATCCACCTATCGATCTCACGATCGATCTCACAATCGGTCTCACCATTGATCCCACTACGACCTCGTACTCAGTACCACAATCGACCTCACTATCGACCTCACCATCGATCTCACTACCGATCTGTCGATCTCGCGGTCGATCTCACAATCGATATAACAATCCCTCTCAACATCGATTTCACTGTTGGTCTCACTATCGATCTCACTAACGATCGCACTGACGATCTCACTATCGATCCCACTATTGATCTCACTATCGATCTCACTATTGATCTCACGATTGATCTCAATATCGATCTGACTATTGATCTCAATATCAGTCTCACTATCGATCTCACTATCCCTGTCACGATCGATCTCACAACCGACCTCACTATCGATCTCGCTATCGATCTCACTATCGACCTCACTATCGATTACACCATCGATCTCACTATCGATCTCACGACGATCGATCTCACAATCGGTCCCACGATTGATCTCACGATCGATCTCGCTATCGATCTCACTATCGGTCTCACGATCGATCTCACGATCGATCTCACGAGACATCACGGAACACCGCGGGACACCATAGGTACACTAAGGCGGGACACCGTGGGACACCGCGGGACACCAAGGGACACCGCGAGACACCATCACGGGACACCACGGGACACCAATCGGGACACCGCGGGACACCGCGGGACACCATCGGGGCACCACGGCGGGACACCAACCGGCACCCGCCGGCCACGCGGCCCGGGGGTGGGGGCGGACTGTCCTCGCTGCGCCCTGGTCAAAGAGGAGGGTTCGCTCCTCTGCCCCCGCCCACACGGCGTCGCCTCGCCCGCACGCACGGCACGAACCCGAAACCCAAACCGATTTCCTGGTGGGCTCGCAGTCCCGCTTCGATCTCACCCCCCGACCTCCGACTGCTACCACGACAGCAAGGAGTGTAGTCCAAAATCGTAGGCTGCTACATGCCTCTACCATCACCCTTCGGGTGAAAAGGAGGTTCGGGAGGGGGAGGAACCACCGTCTCACTCAATCGATCTAACTATCGATCTCACTATCGGTCTCACGGTCAATTGAATCATCGATCTTACGATCGATCTCGCGATCGAATCCACTATCCCTCTCGTAATCGATCTCGCGATCCCCCTCACTATCGATCTCACTATCCCATCTCACTACCGATCCCACAATGGACCTTAAAATCGACCTCGCTATTGATCTCACGATCGATTACACATACTATCGATCTCACTATCGGTCTCACTGTCGATCTCACGATCGATCTCACGATCGATATCACTGCTGATGTTGCCATCGATATTGCTAGCGGTCTCGGTCTAACGGCCGATCTCACAATCGATCCCACTATCGGTCTTACTATCGATTATAATATCAATCTTCCGATCGATCGCCCTATCGATATTGCCCTGGATCTCACGATCGATCTCACAATCGATCTCACTGGTGACCTCACTGTCTATCTCACTATCGATCGCAATTGATCTCACGATCGATCTCACGGGACACCGCGGGACACCGCGAGACACGGCGGGACACGGCGGGACACGGCGGGACACCACCGGGACACCACGGCGGGACACCACGGGACACCGCGGGACACCGTGGGACACCGCGAGACACCATCACGGGACACCATCACGGGACACCACGGGACACCGCAGGACACCGCGGGACACCGCGCGACACCACGGGACACCGCGGGACAGTACGGGACAGCATCGGGACAGCACGGCGGGACACAGCGGGACACTATCAACGCACCCTGAAGGCACACTCGGGACACCAATCGAGACACCGCGGGACACCGCGGGACACCACAGGACACCATCGGGGCACCACGGCGGAACACCCCGGGCCCCCGCCAGCCACGCGGCCCCGGGGGGAGGGAGGGCGCGGACTTCTGCCCTCGCAGCTTCGCCTCGCAAGCACGCGCGACACGAACCCGAAACCGAAACCGATTTCCTGGTGGAGGGCTCTCGGCTCCAGTTCGATCTCAGCCCCTCACCTCCGATTGAAAGCAATGTCCTGACAGAACATGGCATAGCATGATATAATGAATTGGGCACGCTGTAACCATAGTAACATAACATACTTGTTGCACGATTGCGAGCACTACGACAACGAAGTGGCATGGCATCATGGTCTGTCCAATATCTTATACAGCAGGCCATGATCTGAATATACGGTACCAGAGCATTAAAGTCTGTACTGCAACGTAGACGGTGAAGCATAGCACAGCATATCATGAGAGCCAAACATCATAGACAAGTTCATCTTATGACCGAACCAACCATAACATACATACGATCATCTTAGATGTTAAAGTGAACCACCACGGAAGAGGGACCCAAAAACACAAACTACATCACCTTCTTATAATTCCTCGGAGCGGCCACGCCGAGGTCAGGCTGGCCACGGGAGCTAACAGGCGCAGCAACGACCGATTGGACGACGTACCTAACGTGACAGGCGTGTGATTTGCGCCCTGCAGGGGCGCAGCATACACGCCGACGGAAGGCTGGCCACAGGACAACAGCAGGTGCAGCAATGGCCGATTAGACGACGTGTCAAACGTGACATGCGTCACGACGTCACGGGGCCCCGTCGAGAGCAGAACAGAACAATCCATATGTGCATCGAACAGAACGGAACCGAACAGAACGTCACAGAGCATAATACAGCAGAGATCGAGTACTGTCGTCGTATCATATGCGACATGCGCGCCGAGCCCACGCTAGCCACAGAAACGAACAATAGCAACAACTACCGGTTAGACGACATACAGTCATCGACCTGACCTAAGGAACGACGAATAAGGAACGAAGCCCCTGTCTTCCAAGGAAAAAATCACAAGAAACGATAAATAATATAAAAAACGCATAAGGAAGGATACGTAACGCATGCAAGCCTTAAGGAACGACCGAGCCCCTTTTGAAAAGTAAGTGTTCCTTACTCAAGCCGCTCACTGTATCGAACGTGCCAGTCGTCACGGCGTCACGCTTGCCCGTCCAGACCATAACATAACATAACATAATGTAAGTCACTACGCTGGGCCAGAATCCAAGCGAGCACATTACATCACCTTAATTTACCGCAACTACCAACCCACCGAGTCTCACCAAACGTACATCATAATTTAACCAACCGGACCGTAAGACAATTAAGCGCGACGTGCGCGCCGAGCTCAGGCTGGCCACAGGAACAGAAGTTTGACAGTGTATCTAACGTGACAGGCGTCACGACGTCACGCTGGCACGTCGAGAACATAACATGACATAATACAGTATAACAGATTAGAAGTCCATGGGGCATAACATGTTTGAATGCTGGTGGGTACAGCAACGACCGATGAATGGGGCCCTGTCAAACGCAACATCCACGCTGACGAGAGGCTGGCCACGGGACAGACACAGGCACAGCAAGGCCCGATTAGTCACGCCGCTCCGTCGATAGCAGAACAGAACAATACATACGCATAGAACAGAGCATAATCAAACAAAGTGTGATGGAGTAGAATGCAGCAGCGACCGAGCGACCGAATATTTGCGTCTTATCAAACGCGACATACGCGCCGAGCTTAGGATGGCCACAGAAACAAACAGTTCCAGACTCGGAACACACGCCGAAGGTTTCGGTGAAGATCGCTGGAACCATAACAATTGTCGTTTTCCCTTGCTCTGTCTTCGTTGCACATCTGCTGCAGAACCGAACTATCCTGGCGAACAGTCGTTGTGAGTATCTTCGGTGGATCTCCTTCGGGGGCCACGAAGCGCAGGAAGGGTGTGCCGACATGGGAGAGGGCTGTCCATGCGGGCGCTGCCAGTGGGGCTCTATATACAGCCCCCTATGGGGCCACGAAGCGTGCGAGAGGTGTCCGGAAATGGAGCGCGTCACCAGGCGGGCGCTCCCTAGTGGACCCCGAAACGTGTGAGGGGTGTGCCGAAGTGGGTGACCCAGCCTCATGTGGACATCGCCCCTGGGGCCTGCGGTGGGGCTCACTGTGGGGCCACAGAGCGCGTGAGAGGCGTGCCGACGTGGGCGGGGCGGCCGCCTGCGGACACCGCCACTGTGGCCTCCGTTGAATCTCCCTAGGGGGCCATTAGCCTGCGGTGGAGCTCCCTGTGGGGCCTCGGAACGCGTGAGAGTCGGGCCGACATGGATGGGGCGGTCGCTTGCGGACACCGCCTCTGGGGCGTGCGGTGGAGTTCCCTATGGGGACACGAAAAACGCGTGAGGGGTGTGGCGAAACGGGCGTGACGCCCACATGCGGACGTCGCCACCGGGGCCTGCAGTAGAACTCCCGATGGGGCCACGAAGCGCGTGATGGTGTGCCAAAACGGGCGTGACGCCCACATGCGAATGTCGCCGCTGGGTCCTCAGGTGGAGCTCCCTATGGGATCACGGAACGTGTGAGGAGTGTTCCGAAACGGTTGACATGCGAGGGGCAGAGGCACGGATGGGAGGAGGGAGCAAGGGGGCAGCGAGAGAGAAGAAAGGAGACGCGGGGCGCTCTCTTCAAAACGAACACGCAACCCCACAGGATGGTTGGACATCCAAGCGAACATGGCCCACGGGATCGCCAACGCGAGCACTGCAAAACGGCATAATCAAGCAGACATTGTCGGAGCCCCGCGCGGATTCCTCGGATCGGCGCTGGGCCCCCCTGGCGGCGCCTCCGGCGCCGCCAGGGAGGGGGGCCCAACGCCGATCCAAGACACCCGGGCGGGGCTCCGGAAGTTTATGCTTTAGCCCCCAACTTCAGCCCCTGCGGCGATTCAGCACGGCCCAAACATGTGGCTAAGAAGAAGTAAACATCTGCTCGACTGTGCTGAAACCGCTTCCCCTCCTGGGGGCTATACCAGCCGCCATGGGGGGACGTTTCTGTTTATGTACTTGTTCTTCTTCGAATCCTGCACGCAGTCGTCGTACATCGCGGGGAGTATCGGCTCGCAGGCAGTGAGGTGCAGCATCCACCGGATGGCGACGACGCGCAGCGCGAGCGGGTTGCCAGCAGCCACGGTGGACTTCATCAGCTCGACGGCATCCGAGTTGTTCCACATCGATTTCTGGTTGGCGAAGGCAATTGCCAGGTCATCCAGCAAGCGCAGATATTGGAGGCGGATCTCGTCTGTCTGTCCAGGACTCGCCCCAGAAAGCATCATCTTTCGCTGGGCGGGATCGGTCCACATCTTCTTCCGAGAGTCATCGCCTAGGATCATCCACGAGAGGGACACAATCTTCCCAACCACGATACGCTCGTAGCCACTGTTGGCCATCCTCTGATCATGCGCCGAGAAGGTGGGATCTCGAGAGGCCGCCAGAAGCGTGTCGTGCAGGCGCTCCTCGTGCAGAGGCAGGTGGTTCTCTCCGCACATGGACAGTTGCAACACAACCTCCAGCGCGGCGGACCTGATGCTCGGCGCACTCTGCTCTGCCAGAGCGTCCTTGAGGTGACCAATAAGCACAGGGCTTCCGCACATCTCCGCCCTGTTGTCGTCCTCGCAGGCCAGGCTTCTGAGGGCCCCGAGGGCGTTGAGCCGAACGCTGCTGCAGTTGCCGGAGCCAGCACCGTCGACGAGGATGTCTCGGATATCTGGGTCGACCCACAGCTGGTGTCGCGAGGGCTCGTCCTTCGCCATTGCCCAGAGTGCGCCGATGACGTTCAAACGCACCTGGAGAGCATGTCTGCTTTCACGGTAGCGGCTGTCACCGGCTCCGGCCGACCCGCCCCCCCCCCCCGTGGCGTCACGTCGCCGGTGCACAACGTGATGTTTTACCGACCCCCCCGCTGACGCCCGCTATCGCCCGGGAATAAAGATGATGGGTGTGTGTTTCCACCACCACCACCATAGGTTGGAGGGGGAGGGGGTCCTCCTCCTCCTCCTGCTCCTCCTCCTCGTCTTCCTCCTCCTCCTCCTCCTCGTCCTCCTCCTCCCCCCCCTCTAACTTATGGTGGTGGTGGTGGAAAACATGCCCATCAAAAGAACGCTCTCCTGTGGCGGCTGCTCACTGCGCCCGCTCTCGATGAGCACGTCGCGGAGGCCGTGCACGGGGCTCAGCAGCTCTCTCGCGCGAGCGCCGAGCGCCACGGAGCTCCAGAGAGCGGCGAAAACCGCCGCCCGGTTGTGAGCCGGCTCGTCCACGTGCGCCGCACTGGCCAGCGCCCTGTGGATGTCCTCGGTGGAACCCGCCCTGTTCCTGCGCCTCCGCCTCCTCCTCCTCCTCCTCCTCCGCATCCTCCTCCTCCTCCTCATTATCCTCCTCCTCCTCCTCCTCCTCCTCCTCCTCCTCCTCCTTCTTCTCCTCCTTCACACAGCTGCCGCCTCGGCTGGGCAGCGCAGCAAACTAGGTCATGCAACCACATCCTATGGCCTTTTACCTCCTCCCACCAGGGCCAGGGGCCCTCGGCCAGCGCAATGGGATCTCGGATTCTCTTGTCTATGGTGTACAATCCTCTCCATGCCTGTGGTGGTCGATTACGCGACCTCATATCAAAATTGAGTGCTCTCGATCTGGTCGGCCTCCCAGGCACCCAACCTCGAGAGTATGATCGGGAAGGGTATCGGGTACAGCGACTGCGGGAGCGGCTGGCTGTTCATGCTGGCTGGAGGGCAGGAGTGTTTGTGACGCGATCCGCAGGGTGCTCTCTTTTGCTTCCCGAGTCCTGGACCCAGCGCACCATCAGAGCAAACATCGTGGCCCCCTGGACCTCTGAATGCCGTGGATTGGCGGTGGAAGTGTCTCGGGGAGATTTCTCTACATGGCGATTGTTCTCTACTTCCCGCCAAGGCCCTCCAGAGCTGACCAGGTCAAACAATGTATTGCGTGCTGTGGAAAACTTAGGCTGGGTCCGTGAGTGTCTGAATGGCCTGCCAGCTCGGGTCCATCCTATCATCATGGGGGAATTCAGCGACGGGATGGGTATATCGACAGTCTCTGGAGATTGGGTTGAAGTTGATACTCCGAGTCTGGGGAACATTCGAGGGAAGGAGCGTCATCGAGGTGGGGCGGGGGAATGCTTCAGAGAGATACTGCACGAATTTGGTTCGTTTTCTCCGGCGTCAACCCGCACTTTTTGTCCAACGTTTTATGGCTCGACGGGGGGCACATCGATGATTGATCATCTAGCCCCACCACTCTTCTGGCCCGAACACGTTAATTACGTATGCAAGCCTGCTTCGCCGCCTGGGCTGACGCCTCCGAGTAATAAATTGTGCCACGCCTGGTGATCACATACCTGGATCGGTCAAAGTGAAGGTACCACGTGTATCGATTGCACACCGACATCCTGTGGAGCTCACCCCACATGAACGACCCCTGGATCCTGTACGCTGGGACCGTGGCAAACTTATGAAGGCCATGAAGGGGGGCGGGGCATGAGGGAGATGTGCGAGCAGCAACTCGAACAGGAGCGTCACTCTGTGGAACACGCGTGTCTTGATCCCAATACTGTTCTGAGCCTCCTTGAGCGGTATTTTTCGAACCGCGGGTGCTGAAGTTTTTCGGAAAGGGCTCCCTGCTGGGTCCGCGCGCTTCGCCCTTGCACAAAATAGAGCTGTCCCGCTTAAGGGGCAGCGTGATCTACGAGTTCATCTGGGTGATGGGATTTCGGATGCTGAATGTGCGAAATGAATAGAAGGCAGAACATCCACCCCGATAATAGCCACCCCGACAAGCGAAGCCGTTTAGTAAACGCGCCCAAAGAAAGAATCGAACAGGGCAGGCATGTTTAGTATACGCCCAAGGCCGTTTAGTAAACGCCAATTGTCCGGTCCGTGCGGTTTTTCTCCCCTTGAATGTCGTGAGGAATTTACTGGCCTGACCAAGCAGTGCAAAGACTGGCACAGAGCAGAACAACGATTGAAATGAGAACAACTTGTGGAGGGAATACGGAACTCCTGGCGATGGCGGGACCTGGCGAATGTGAACAGATTGTCTCTCCGCCTGACGGGGTGGCAGGTACGGCAAAGGCGGACGTGACTACAGTAGACTGGACGGGATGCTCCCAACTGGCGAGGGAGTGGTTCGCGCACCTGTCGCAGCCTGGTGGAAGTGGAGGCCTCCAAGCATCGAGAGTGGTTGGGGTGACATGGAGGCCCTGCAACAACTATGGAGAAGATCTTCTCCTCCCCCTGACCAGCTATAAGAACGATTGCAGCAAGCTTGGGCCAAATCTTTTATTGAGATGGAACAGATTGAGCAGTATTCCAAACGTGCACCCAAGAGGCGCAGTGTCCCTCCGTGGTCGTTGCCGTCAGAATTGTGGCTCTTCTCCATCCGCACCCAGCCTGACCGGAGTACGCAACCTCATGGAGACTCTCGGGCAGGGCTCGGTACCGATCGCACTGCGACCACTGGAGTTTATTGTCCGAAGCGGCTGCATAATTTATTTGGTGTGACGCGATCCCAGGCCTCTGGAATGTGAGTGAACGTTTCGCTTTGCCGAGGCTGCTGCGCCTGGACCGACAGGAAAAGAGTGATGCATTGTCTCGATCATGTGGGGAAGGGGTTCTTCGACAGCCTCATGCGTGTCCGCGCGAAGTACGTTGACTAAGATTGCGATCACGGTGTGCTTCGGTCTCGTCGTCGTGAGGATGCCATTGTTGCGAACAGGTGTTTCTCGTGGCGGTTGTCGGCCGCAGCGTATTATCGGGTGGACTCCCTTAAGGACCTTACCAGTGCTTTCGCGCCTTCGAAGTGGGAATCCCTCGACCAGGCCTATCGCACGATCGTTCAGCCCAGGGACCAGGACCTGTGTCGGCACTGGCAGCGCTGTATGAGGGCGGGGTGTGTACTTCCCGCGGCCGATGGACCCCTCTTGTCTCCGACCTGGAGTTGGGTCTCTTCAGGGCGGTCCGTTTGCGGTCAGGTCGTTCGTGCGAGTTGTTCGCCAGCCAGCTAGCAGGTGGCTTGAGCGATGCCAGGCAGCGGATCCAGGCAGTGAGCCTCTGATGTGGCCACGGATCCCGAGCCCATGGTCCGGGGCTCCCCTCAGGTGGACCTGGGCCTCCAGAAGTTCGCAGATGGCCTCCAGAAGAAGCTGACTATGCCCCCCCCTTCACCGCAGATCGGTTCCTGAAGGCTCTTAGGGGCAACGGCGAGTTTCTAGATGAGGAGCTGGACAGGATAGGTGTAAAGAGGAACAGGGGCAAACAGGAGGCGCTGTTAAGGGTTCCCCAGAGTTCCAAGCGAGGTGCTGCGGCTGCCCATGAGAAGCCAGGGGACTAAGGTGTCGGATGGGGGTTGGGTGCCTGGGGCCCTTCCCTGACCCCCACGCAGAGCTTCAGCGTCGAGCTCGTCAAACGCATCAAAGCTATGATAGCGGCCTTCTGTAGGATGGGGCAGGTCTAGCTCCAGAAGGGGGTCCCGCACCGATGGAAGAGGTGTGTTTTGCGGTGCCACGTATTCAGCACGGCGCTTGCTGGCGTCGAAGCTTTGGTGCCCGTCGCATCCCAGTTGCAGACCCTGGACCTCGCCGTCGGTGTCCTTGCGAGGAGAGCCATGCGAGGCGAGACGAGCTGGGAGGAGGATGGGATGCGTCGCTGTTTTTTTCCACGCGCGAGGTGTACCAATTACCAATGGTGGCGCCTCGCTCCTCTTGCCAGTGAACTTCAGGTTCGTCGTTCGCGGTGCCTCCAGGCAAGCGTGAGGAAGCCGAGTGCTCACAGGCGGTTGCTGGCGGCCGTCTTTGGGTCTTTCCCGTTTAAGTACCACGAGGCATTCACAGAGAATGGGTCCCTGGATGTGAATGCGAATCCTTGGGTTCTGCAGTCCGAAGGGGACCTTGAGGAGCTTGTGACATGGGGTGAAGAAGCGGACTCATGCTGGGCCCGTGCCGGTGGTTCTATCTAGGGGCCTTTCGATGTCGAGGACTCCCGGGACTTCGTCAAGATCGAGGTTCGCGTTCTTCGCGGTCGGCATTCCGATGTCAACGTGGCCTCCCCCCTGGGCTCCAACCTGAAGGTCCCGAGGCTCTTGAAGGAGGTGCTCTGAGTGGGCCGCTTGGCTTCAGTTGTCCCTGGGTCGGCCCTGGATGGCCTCTGCGGGGCTGCCCTTACCTCGAGGAGGGGCCCGGCCAACCATCTGCGCATGGCCCACAACACGTCGAGGCTGCATCGGGTCCCGACGGTGCCCAGTGTGCTTCCTGCCGTGGAGCTTCCCAGGAAAGGCAGGCAGTGCACAGAAGCATCTCCATGGAGCCAGTCACGGCGGGCGCTGCCTGGCCAACGAGGCCTCCATGCTGAGGCCGCTGGATGGAGCCAGAGTCCGTCATCATCTGTGGTGTGTGTGTGTGCGTGGCTCAAGCTGGTGCATATTGGAACTCTACGGCGAACGCGCCTGCACCCACCTGCCCTGCCAACCTCGTGTTCAACCTCTCCGCCATGCCAGGAGGAGGAGGACGAGGAGGAGGAGGAGGAGGAGGAGGAGGGGGATGGGGGAGGAGGAGAAGGAGGAGGAGGAGGAGGAGGAAAAGGAGGAGGAGGAGGAGGAGGATGCGGAGGATGCGGTGGAGGAGGAGGAGGAGGAGGAGGAGGAGGAGGAGACGGGGACATGGAGATGCTCGGAGAGGAGCAGCCCGCGTGGGCCGTGGTCGCGTGTGGGGGGCTCAGCGGCCGGGTCGCGCCGACGAGTCGAGCGAGGCCAAGAGATCCCGCGCCCCAGGGCTCCCGGGACGGCCCGAGCCGGAGTCGCGAGGAAAAGGCGCCAGGAAGCAGCAGGAGCTCCTGGAATGCGTGGCCCGCCTCGGTCTGAGCACGGCACGCGAGCAGGCTCTGCTGGAAGGCAGCATTCTCGGGAGCTGCCTCGTCCCAGAGGCGCCGATCGAGGCCAACGCTTTCTACACCAACGCCGTCGCCGACCCGAAGGAGAAGCAGAAAGCGGACGACAGCATAGACCTCGGACAGATGCCACCCTTTGTCACGGTGTTCTTTATGGTGATGGCGGCGGCGCGGAAGATGGCCCAAGGTCCGGCCGTCGAGCCCACGAACAGCTTTTGGGAGCCCTACGCGCAGGGCAAGCCAGCGGAATGCGGCACGCAGTGCGTCACGCACTTCTCGGCCAAGGCTGAAGTCGGGCCTGTCCCCCCACAAGGGGATTTTTAAGGAAAAACTAAGAATAGTCAAACATATTCGAAAATGGTCAAAAAATACTCCGAACATCGACCCTAGACTATTCTCTCTTTTCTTTCGGAAAAAACAAAAACTATTTCTAAACATATCCCTGCTGTAGAGGGACAGGCCCGGCTCAAGCCAAGGCTCCGTCCGCGGGGCGAGCACGCCAGCACCGAGACGAGAGGCAAACGTGGAGCTCCAGGTGCGCATCCGGCACACCAGGCCTGCGGGCGTCCAGCTCCGCTGGAGAGCCTCGATCGGGCTATCTCTCGCTGCGGCGGGGGCCCCGAGGCTTGTACAGGGCAGGTGTTTATATATATAATCATAGGATTTTTTAACATGTAGGATTTGTGATACATGATTAATGTATGAAAACATTATGCATGAACTCATCGTTGTTTTTAATACATGATCAGCACGCGGAGCATGTGCTGAAAACAGCACTGTGCGCAGGCTCCGCTCCGCGAGGACCTCTCGCGCGCAACATCTCCCACCTGCTCGGCAGGGTGGCGCACGGTGGAGGCCCGGCCACGAGAGACAGTTCACAACGGAAAGGTAGGGGAACGAACAATGACATGAACAGAAGACCTCGGAGGTCCGCGCGGACTCCTCGGATCGGCGCTGGGGCCCCCTGGCGCGGATCCGAGAAGTCCGCGCGGACCTCCGCGTTTTTTGCTTATGTCATTCTTCGTTCCCCCGAAAAGGGACCCATACAGTGAAGGCCAGCCCACAGGAAACCTTCGAAAAGAAACCCGATCCTGAGACCCCAGGGCGTCCATTGATCTTTAGGTGTGGGAACGTCACGCTTTCCATGGCAAAAGCATCGAGACACAAGAAACCCAGGGCGCTCTAGAGTCAAGCAGGGTGTTTCTTGGCATGGGCCTCCACTGTAGGGAAGGAACGCGCTGTACATCGAGAGGCCAAACGAATTCGGAGTCCGAGTGCTGATGGTGATAATTTGCGCTCCCGGCAGACTGGCTGCCGATCGATGTCTGGGCCAACTTGTTCTTCAGCTGCGTGTTCGGCTGATGATCGAAGGTCTCAGGATGTGTGTGCACCCCAGTTTGCTCAGGAGGCCGAACGGATGAATGCAACTGCCAGGTTTCATTCTGATGCTGTGGGTGATCTCTCTGATGATACCTCTCAGCAGCGTGCGGACAGTGCAGTCATGCAAACCCAGAGGCAGCGACTCTCTCTCTCCCCGATGCTCTCCTCGAGAGCGAGCGGCAGTGCTGCTCCTCGCGGAAGCGCGGGCGTCCTGCAGGATGTCCGCGCCGCGGGGAGGGACTCTTTTTTGCGTGCGGGCGGGGGGCGGGGGTGTGAGGCCCCCGCCCCCGCCCGCACCCACCCAAGCACCCCCCGCAACGGCAACGTGCGGGAACTGGCCACGGGCGTGAACCTTTGCACCTTCGGCAGCAGTGTCAAGGGATTCCCTATGTGTAGGAGGAGGATGGAGAGGAGGAGGAGGAGGAGGAGGAAGGAGGAGGTGGAAGAGGAGGAGGAGGAGGAGGAGTAGCTGAGGAGGATGGAGGACGAGAGAGCGGGTGGCCGCCGAGACCGATCGTGCCGAGGGGGAGGGCCGCCTCGCCCGAAGTGGGGAGCAGAGGCGCCCCAGAGCGTCGGTCCGCGGTGCCGCGGAATCGAGAGTGCGCTGTGAGAGGCGGCCAGCGCCCGCAGGGCCATCCCACGCGGCAATCCCGCGCGAGAGGGGTGTGCCTCTGGGGCCAGAGCGGGGGTCCCAACGAGGGTTTGGATTTGCTGGGCTGCGCCCCACGTAGGGACCGAGCTGTGCAGCTCTGGCCCAGGTTTGCCGTTTCTTTTGTTGCCTCTCAATCTGACTGACTTGAACTGGTCCTCGGCGTTTTCTTGGTCTTGGTCCTGGTATTCCTACTCATCGTTGTCAGGATCATCATCAGCAGCGTCAGCATCAGCGTCAGCGTCAGCGTCAGCATCATCCTCCTCCTCCTCCTACTCCTCCTCCTCATCCTCCTCCTCATCATCATCATCGGTATCGTCATCATCATCCTCATCCTCATCATCATCCTCATCATCATCATCATTAGCATCATCACCATCACCACCATCACCACCACCACCATCATCATTATCAGCAACATCAGCATCAGCATCAGCATCAGCATCAGCATCAGCATCAGCATCAGCATCAGCATCAGCATCAGCATCGTCCTTCTCCTCCTCCTCCTCATGCTCATCCTCATGCTCATGCTCATGCTCATGCTCCTCCTCCTCCTCCTCCTCGCCCCCTCCACACCATCCGCCTGGCCCTCCGCCCCGAGCGAGCACGTCCTTGGTGGCCCCCGGAGGCTCCGCGCCCACCGCGGCCACGGCGAGGACGGCCAGGATGAGCCCCGCGGGCTGCCGGACGGACGACGGCTCGCTCAGCCTGCAGGCCTGGGCGAAGGGGAGAAAACTCGAGGCGAGAGGAGCACTCAGCACTAATAACATAAATTAGCAAAATTATCCCAGTGCGACCCTACCTAGGAGTTGGAGGATCCAGGAAAGCAACATCTATATCTAAACCGACAGCTACATCAACATCTACACCTGCATCTACATCCACATCAACAGCGAGACTCACATCTACATCTACATCTACACCTACATCTACACCTACATCTACATCAACGTCTACACCTACACCTACATCTACATCTACATCTACATCTACATCTACACTGTCGCATTGGTTTTGCGGGGGCTCCGGTCCGGCCATCGAGGCTAGCTCGGCATCTGTCGCACATTGCTTTTGCTTTGCCTTTCCTTTGCTTTGCTTTTGCTTTTGATTTGCTTTGCTTTGCTTTGCGTTGCTTGTGCTTTGCTTTGCTGTCGCTGATGTTGCTTTGCCTTTGCTTTGCTGCTGTGCTATGCTATGCTCTGCTATGCTCTGCTATGCTATGCTGCGCGGTGCTATGCTGTGGTGTGCTGTGCTTCGCTATGCTATGCTATGCTATGCTATGATATGCTATGCTATGCTATGCTATGCTATGCTGCGCCATGCTATGCTATGCTATGCTATGCTATGCTATGCTATGATATGATGTGCTGCGCTATTATGTGCTACGCTCTGCTATGCTATGCTGTGTTGTGCTATGCTAAAGCTCGGCGAAACTAAGATGAAGGTAAGCTAAGCTAAGATAAACCTGAGCTAAGATGAAACTAAGCTAAGCTAAGATGAAATAAGCTAAGCTAAGATGAGATAAGCAACGCTAAGCTAAGGGGACGTCACTGGGGGAACCACGGGGCGGATGCCGTGGGAACCGGCCCTTTAAGAGAACAGGGGAAGAACCCTTCTAGGCAGAGCCTAGGTAGGGAATTATCCAGAACATTATGATTAAGAAAATAGCAATCGAAATCAGCATTAGTAAACGTACCGCGGCGGAATTAGCATTCAGCATCAGTCAAAAATATGATTCAGAAAAATCATCAGTTGAGAAAGCTGGGCCAGCTTTTCAGAAGGTTCTTAGGGAACGGCTGGGCCAGCTTTTGGGGCCAGGATCACGTACACTATTCGTTTCTGGGGTCCAACCAGCTTTCAGCAAGTTGGTTAATAAACGCTGGTCCAGCTTTTCGGGGGGAGGTGACTTCATCATAAGCGGGACCGTACAGCAAACGCGTACAATAAGGATGCACGATGGAGTCAAACCGCACAAGAAGGATGCGCGATGAGGATGCAGGGGCCTTGGAGGGCCATGTTCACGCTTTCCGAACGAGGCTGGCCAAGGAAAGTCGCTAAGAATGGGCCCCAGGGGAAGGATGCAGGGGTAGCCTTGGAGAGTTGCTCGTCCTTACTGTGCGGGCTGACTGTAAGAATGCAGGGGCCTTGGAAGGCCACGTCGGCACCTTGCGATCGGGGCGCGGTCGGCGGAAGTGGCCAAGGATGGGCCGAAGGGGAAGGACGCAAAGGCGCATCGCCTCTGTTTGATAGGCCCCAGACCGAATCGTTCTGCGGCCCTTTTCGAGCCGGATCGATCTGTGATGGCGGGCCCGACGACGAGCGAAAGTGCGGGGTACAAAAAATGAAGCGTCCGGATCTCAGGGTAGAGCGACAACGAGGACGACACCACTACGCCCCAGACCTCTCCCGGGGTGCATTCTGACCAGAACTTCGAGGCCAATCCAGCCGTGATGAAGAGGGCCTCCCATCACCAAGAAAGGGAACATCGAGGCACGGGTAGCGGTGTTGGTACCTCTTGCTCCTCTGAAAGGCTGAACGACGACGGTGAGGAGGACGATCGTTGAGCAAGAACCGAACGTCCCGGCATTCCTGTATGCCTACCACGGCATGTTCTTAGAACAAGCCATGCTTCAATAACAACGACAATGCCGTTGGAACGAGAAGCTGACGTATGAACACAAGACGGCCTCAGCCAACGATGTCCTAAAAACACGTGGTGCAAACCACGAAAGGTTCTTAGAGCTGTCTTCGGTGGGCCTATAGTTAAGTCAGGGCACCTCCTAACTGCTTGAGTAGAGCCCTCCTAGATGGGGTCGGAGCATATGGGGTCGGATGATCGCACCGCATCGCCGATACATCGGCGATGCATCGGCGATGTATCGGCGATGCACCGGCGATGCAATGCCGACATCTGCGATGCATCGGCGACGTCGACATGAAGCAAATCGGCATCCACACCAAGCCGCATCGGCGACGCATCGGCGATGCGGCGCGATCCTCCGACCCCACCTACTCCGACCCCATCTAGGAGGCCTGGATTGAGATCGGGCGTGTCCCCCTACAGGGGGATGTTGGGCGAAAAATGATCAAAAGTCGAAACAGAATCCACAAATAATCAAAAATAAATTTGAAGAAGGGTTCCCAGACTATTCTTGCACTATTTTCGAATCTCCCTCCTGTAGAGGGACGTGCCCGACTTAATGCTTGAGATCGGGCGGCCTGCACCATCGCGTTCCGCGACTTGCTGCTCTTCAGCACGCTCAGCTGGTTCGCCACGGAGGCGGCGGCGCTCTTCACCACACAGAGCGCGGCGGCGCGCACGGCCTCCGACTGCTCGTCGTCCTCTGTGACTTGTTTGACCTTTGCCCAAACAGGGCCTGGCTTTAGGGGTTCTGACTTGTGTGATATACTATATATTTTTGTTTGAGCCCCAGGAGCCCCCAGGGGTCAGAGGGCCTCGGACACAGCAAGAACGCAACAACTCACTATAGACAGTCCAATGGCAACCTCACCGTGGCCGTGAGGTGGACCCCGAGGCCATGCCTCGCTGGGAAGGGCAGCGCCCGGTGGCAGACATTAATGTACACCAAAGCCCGACAGGCGGCACTTCGCCGGCAGCCACACGACAGAGATCAGCGGCCTTCTTATTCGTGTTCCAATCTTAAGGTCCAGTCGGGCTGCTGAAATCAGGTACGATACATGGTCGAGGGTTTGGCCCCCCCCCCCCCCCCAATGCCAATGCCATCGGCCCCCCCCCCCGCGCGATGGTCCCCCCCCCCCGTGGGCGTGGGCGTGGCATGGTGGCCCCCACCCCCTGTGTGAGTGGTGTGGGGTCGGCGTCTTCGCCATCGTCGTCGCCCTCAGCCTTTGCCTCCGGAGAGCGGCGGCTACGTGGGGAGAGGAAGCGGGAGGGGGGAGCAAGGTAGGGAAGAGAGGGCCAAGAACGAGGAGAGAGGGATGGAGAGGCGGATGGGGGGAGGAGGAAAAGGAACATCGTCGTCGACGGTGTCTTCACCGTCGTCGCCTCCTTCTGGGTGTGGCGTTATGTTCCAGTGCTTCAGGGAGCCGGAGCGGACGGTGTTTTCGTCGTCTTCGTCGTCGTCGCCGTCGTCGTCGTCGTCCTCCTCCTCCTCTTCTTCTTCTTCTTCTTCTTCTCCCTCCTCCTCCTCCTCCTCCTCCCTCCTCCTCCTCCTCCTCCTCTCCTCCTCCTCTTCCTCCTCCTCCTCCTCCTCCTCCTCCTCCTCCTCCTCCTCCTCCTCCTCCCCCTCCCATCCCACCTGGGGGGGGCGGGGAGGGGGCTCGAGGATCCTGGGACCCATCCCATCTGGGGGGGGGGGGCCCGTGGGCCCGGAGCCCGCGATCATACATGATGAGCGAAGCCCACGATTTTCCAAGTCGAGCCGTGAAATCTGCAGCAGCGGCACGCGTGCAGAGCTAAGGGACCACCGGGCCACTTCCGACCTCGAGCTGGACCTTGTTTCAGCGAGCTGACTGCAATCTTTAACGGGCGAAGAACGGTACAAAATAAACTTTTTCGCTGTCGGGGGCGCCTGTCCCTGGGCGGCTGGATACCCTTACGGTGGCACCGTAGGGGTATAAACTTTCCAGCCGCCCAGGGACAGGCGCCCCGGACAGCGAAAAGTTTATCTTATACCGTTCTTCGCTCGCTGCAATCTGTAACTGGGCCACAGTGCCGGTCCGGCAGGCTCGGAGCCGCCCGTCGACGCCCGTCTCCGCCGTCCGTCGCGGCCGCTATGGTCTGGCCGGCTCGTCGCCGCTCGTCGCCGCCCATCCGTTGCCGCCACTTGCACTCGTCCGCTCGCAGTCGTCCACTCGCACTCGTCCGATTGCGAAGCACAGCATAGCACATCTCACGGCAGCATAGCACAGCGCAACACAGCTTGAATTGGATCAGCACAACACAGCTGAGCTGAGCACCGCATAACACAAAAGGGCATACCATCGCACAGTATGCGATAGAATGGTGAAACCAAGGTGGGGTGACTCAATTTTTCCCCACGCATAGATTGCATTGTGGATGCTGCCGCGCTTAAATTGGAACTGCAAGTCGTGCACCGCATAGATTGCACTGCGTAGGCTGCATCGCGCATATCACATCGCAGAGTCTAGTAGACTAGAACGGCCCACGCTGCCAAGCCTTGCTCAGCCGATGAAAAATCAAACAGAAACATAGCCAGCAAACGGACAAACAATCATGCCGCTCTGTCTTGACGGCAACGCTGGCGGCCGCAAGCGCGTCTGCAGAGCCCACGGGCCGCGCCAGGCGCTGGGCACCCCGAGACAAGCGGGCGATTTCGGAAACCCTGAACCCAAATTTGTCTTCACCTCTTGGGAACAAATCGTTTACAGAGGCCTCCTAGATGGGCTCCGAGTACATGGGGTCGAAGGATTGCGCCGCATCGTCCATGCCTCGCCGACACATCGGCGACGCATCGGCGATGCATCGGCAATGCATCGGCGACGTCGGCGTGGGGGAACACGGTCCCTACATCGAGCCGCACCGTCGATGCATCGTCGATGCATCGGCGATGTGTCGGCGCGATCCTCCGAGACCCCACCTACTCGGACCCCATCTGGGAGGCCTGGAGCTGACTTCCGCCGCCTCCCGCCGAGCTCCCGCCGGGCTCCGCCGGCGGAGGCGGCCTCGTGCTGCCTCCGCCGGCCTGCCGCCGCGGCCACTCCGCCGCCGATCCTCGAGGGCACGGCCCGTTCTGGAACGCCCCGCACGGAGAAGAGGAGGGCGGCCGCGGAGGCAGCGGAGGGCAGGGCTGGGCCAAGATGCTGTCTCTCGTGCCGTGTTCGTTGTGTGCTCTGTGTCGCTCTGCTTCTTTTCCTGCACCTCCCCCCCAGGAGGAAGAGCAGAACACGGCCGAAGCCCAGCAAGACAGCGTTTAGGTCCAGCCCCGGTGGATGGGGAACAGGCCCGACCTGCCGAGAGTCCGCCGAGCGGGCGCGCGCAGGGCGGCCTCATGCATCGGGAGCCCAGGTGTACTGCCAGGGTGGTGCGGTCGGCCCAGGCTGCCGAGGGGCGGGCAGCGACGACTCCGATCGCGAGGCGCGCAGACACGCAGAAGCGCAACCACACTCAAACAAGCAACAACAACAAACACCGAACAAACAAACAGGCAAAGAACACGTGCAGTCCTAGAGGCCTCCTACATGGGGTCGGAGTAGATGGGGTCGGAGGATCTCGCCGCATCGCCGACACATCGGCGATGCATCGGCGATGCATCGGCCATGCACTGGCGACGCCGTCGATACATCGGCGACATCGGCGTGGAGAAATTTGGGGCCCCACATCGAGCCGCATCGCTGACGCATCGCCGATGCGGCGCGAGCCTTCGGCCCCATCTGCTCCGACCACATCTAGGAGACCTAGAAGTTGATGGGCCTGTTTTCCACCACCACCACCACCACCACCACCACCATAAGTTGGATGGGGAAGGAGGAGGACGAGGATGAGGAGGAGGAGGACGACGACGAAGAGGAGGAGGAGGAGGAGGAGGAGGAGGAGGAGGACCCCCTCCCCCTCCAGCTTATGGTGGTGGTGGTGGTGGACGACAGGCCCCTCAGAAAGTCCTCGATGGCGGTCAGCAGCTCCCGGCGGAGCTCCTCGTCGGCCCACAGCTCCTCGCGGTGCCCCGCGAGCGCGAGCGCGCGGAGGCCCGCCAGGCCGCGCAGCCGCGCCTCGGCGTCGGCGCCCGGGCCGATGCTCCGCAGCGCCTCGGCCCGCTGCGCCTCGCCGTCCTGCCACATGCGGGCATGCGCGGCGGGGGGGCGACGGGGGGGGGGGGGGAGGGGGGATGGAGGGCCCGGGGAGGAGGAGGAGGAGGCGGAGGAGGAGGAGGAGGAGGAGGAGGAGGAGGACGGGGCGGAGGAGGAGGAGGAGGAGGAGGAGGAGGAGGAGGAGGAGGAGGAGGAGGAGGAGCAGCAGGAGGAGGAGGAGGAGGAGGAGGAGGAGGAGGAGAAGGGGGGAGGGGACGAGGAGAGCAAGAGAGAGAAGAAGGAAGAGGAGGAGGACGACGACAACGAGGTGAAGGCACAGCGTCGGAATACGAGGAGGAGGAGGAGGAGGAGGAGGAGGAGGAGGAGGAGAAGGAGGAGGAGGAGGAGGAGGAGGAGGAGGGGAAGGGGGAGGTGGGGGGAGGAAAGCGGGAGGAGACGGAGGGGGCGGAGGACGGACAATGGGAGGAGGAGGAGGAGGAGGAGGAGGAGGAGGAGGAGGAGGACCAGTGCAAACCCAAAGCGCATCAACGATGTTGTATTCAATCCTACCTCCAGGTTCTCTCTTCATAGGTCCCTATAAGACATGCTTGTCGTTGTGGGGAATGCCAGATTGGAAGACAACCGTCTGAGACTCCTCAAACGTGTCAGGAAACCATTCTAGGGATTTCAGCGCAACAACAAAAAGCGGCTGGTTCCTGACAGTGCGGAGTCGCGCCAAAACGCCATTCGCGTCTAAACGTGAATGTTGCGTCCTGACATTCCCACGCGTGCCAGAACGCACAAATGTAGGCGGCGCCAGGGCGAGAGCCAAATCTCGAAAACCACCCGCCCTCCATCCATGACGAAGTTGCAATCTTCAAGCCTCAAAATCACAAATGGCGAGGGCGTATCACTCAAAACGCCAAGCCCGTCCTACGGCACGTCTGGGGATGCGACAGGGAGGATTTATGTATATGGGGAACGGATGGAGGAGGAGGAGGAGGAGGAGGAGGAGGAGGAGGAGGAGGAGAGGAACAGAAGAGGAGACGGAGGAGGGAGCATGGGAGAAGGGAAACGGGAGAAAAAAAAGGAGACGGAGGGGGAGGAGGCGGAGAAGGAGGAGTAGGAGAGTAGGATGAGAAGGAGGACGGATAATGAAAAGAGGAGGAGGAAGCCACGCAGGAAAAGGAGGACCAGTGTTCACCCAAAGCCCGTCAACGATGTTGCAATAAGCCCTCCCTCCATAGTCTCTCTTCATGGGCCCCTGCAGTAATTAATTGTCATTACGGGCAATACCCCGTTGGTAGACAAACGTCTGAGAATCTTCAACCGTGCCAGGAAACCCTTCTTGGGAATTCAACGCCTCAAATCAACATGACCCTTGCGTCCTGACACTGACACTCCTGAATCGTGCAAAAATGCCATGTCTGGACTTTGCCACCGCGAGTCATCGTGACCGTTGCGTCCTGACAAACGTAGACCGTACCAGAGCACCGTCCCTGGGGCTTTAACCAGACGTACCCTTTAACATGCTGCACACGTTTAGTGCGAGCGCGCGCGGCGTTGAAGCGAGAACCACATCTTGAAAACCATCCACCCTCCATCCTTGAAAAAGCGATTCGTTTCAAGCTCCAGGTTTATGAATGGTGAGAAAGTCTCAGACACCCGACATGGAATTGCGACAGGGAGGATGTTATTTATATGGAAAACGGATGGAAGAGAAGGAGGAGGGGGAGGGGAAGGACGAGGAGGGATAGTAGGAGGAGGGATACTGGGAAAAACGGAGGAGACCGAGGAGGAGAAGAGAGGAGGAGGAGGACCAGCGTAAAACCAATAACCATCAACGATGTCGGGGAAACCCGCCCTTCAAGTTCCCTCTTCACGAACCCATGCAACGGTTCATTTCCACTAAGGGAACTGCGCCGTCGGACAACGACCGCTCGCAAACCCTGAAACATGGCAAAATATTGCTACCGGGAGTCAAACACCACGGACAAACCTGACTGTTGCGTGTTGGCGATCCTGAATCGTGCCAAACGCCTTTTTCTTGGGACTTCGACACCGCAAATCAACCGAACTGCTGCACCATCATCATCCGGAGTCTTTCCACAACAAAATTACTGGTGCTTTGATCATGGGAATCCGTGGATCTCTTGCAAATGTTTAAGACGAATGTGCGCGGCGCTGAAGCGGGAGCTACATATTGAAAAAACGAACCGCCCTCAATCCGTAAAGGTCTTGCACATGTTTAAAACGAATGTGCGCGGCGCTATGGCGAGAACAACATTTTGAGAACGGGTTCCCCGCAATCCGTGAAACTCTTACACCTGTTTTATAATAAAAAGGAATGTGCGCGGCGCTAAGGCGAGAGCCACATTTTGAAAACGTCCCGCCCTCAATCCGTGAAGCTCTTGCTAACTTTGAACAACGAATATGCGCGGCTCTAAGGCGAGAGCCACATTTCGAAAACGGCCCGCCCTGACGCTGTTAAATTCTTGCAAATGATTACGAATGTGCGCGGCGTCAAAGCGAGAGCCCCATTTTGAAAACGGCCCGCCCTCAATGTGCGAAACCGTTGCCAATGTTGAACCTTCGGGGTCATAAATGGTGAGGACGTCTCAAGCGAAACGCCCGGTCCGCCATGAAAACGTGTTTCGGGCCGTTTGAAGACCCTGAAGCATGCCAAAGCATTGTTCTCGGGATTCCAACGCCGCGGATCAACATGACTGTTGCGTCTCAGACGATCCTGAGCCGTGCCAGAACGTTATGCGCCGTGGACGATCCTGCGCCGTGCCAGAACGCCATTCCTGGGACTTCAACACCGCGAATCAACGTAACTGTTGCGCCCCATAACCCTGAGCGCTTCCAAAACATCACTTCTGGTACGCTGATAATGGGAGCCCGTGGAACTCTTGCAGAGTTTAAAGCACGGATGTGCGCGGCGCTAAGGCGAGGGCCACATGTTGAAGACGACCCGCCTTCAATCCGTAAAACTACTGCAGTGTTTAACGAAAACACGCAGCGATAGTCACATGTTGAAAACGGCCCGCCCTGAATCCGTGAAACTCAGCCGCATTTTGAAAACGGCCCGCCCTCAATCCGTGAAGCCTCTGCAAAAAACTTAAAACGAATGTGCGCGGTTTCAAAGCGAGAGCCACATTTTGAAAACGGCCCGCATCTGTGAAGCTGTTGTCAATTTTCAAATTTCAGGGTCATAAGTGTGAGGATGTCTCAGGCGAAACGCCCGGCCCGCCTTAAAACTTTGCCTCGGGGTGTGGCAAGGAGAAATTATGCGTAAGGAAAAATGGAAGAGGAGGGAGAGGGGGAGGGGGAGGAGGATGAGGAGGACGACAGGAGGAGGAGGAGGAGGAGGAGGAGGAGGAGGAGGAGGACGACGACGACGACGACAACGCCGACGACGACGACGACGACGACGACAACTACGACGACGACAACGACGACGACGACGACGACGAGGGGGAGGGTAGTTACGGGGAAAGAAGGAGGGCGGGGGGGAGGAATGGGAAGAAGAGAGGGATCAGGAGGAGGGCGGCCGAGGGGAGGACAGGGGGAGAGACGGGGGGGAAGTGGGAATTGGTAGGCAGTGTTGTTAGGGGGGAGGAGGGATGGGGGGGAGGATCTGGGAGGGGGGAGGAGGGATATGGGGGGGGGCAAGCGGGGAGCGAGAGCGGGGAGGAAGGCGGCCCCGGGCGCGAGGCGAGGCGCCCCCCCGCCCCCCCCGCACGCTGGAGCGGAGGAGCCAAAACGGCCCCGTGCGCCAGGAGCGCTGGTGGCCTCCGCCTGCGCAGGGCCTGCAGGAGACGCCTCCGCACCCGGCCGCAGGGTTCCACGGATGAGGCTCGAGCGGATGGCGCTTTACCCTCCTCAGCGTCAACATGATCATCGTCGCCATCGTCGTCAGCATCACCAGCATCAGCAGCATCACAATCAGCACCAGCATCCTCCCCCTCCTCCTCCTCCTCCTCCTCCTCCTCCTCCTCCTCGTTATCATCATCCTCGTCATCATCATCATCATCATCATCATCATCATCATCATCATCATCATCATCATCATCATCATCATCATCATCATCATCATCATCATTATCAGCATCAGCATCAGCATCATCATCATCATCATCATCGTCACCATCATCATCATCATCATCAACATCATCATCATCATCACCATCATCATCATCATCACCATCATCATCAGCATCAGCATCATCATCATCATCAACACCGAAATCAGCATCATCCTCATCATTAGCAACTGCATCACCACCAGCACCGTCACCACCATCACCATCAGCATCATCATCACCTTCATCACCATCATCAATATCATCATCATCATCATCATCATCATCATCCTCATCATCAGCAGCATCATCATCATACGCATCATCCTCATCAACCTCGTCCTCATACTCATCCTCATCCGTGTCCTCATCCTCATCCTCATCCTCGTCCTCATCCTCGTCCAGATCCAGTTCCTCATCCTCATCCTCGTCCTCCTCATCGTCATTATCATCATCAGCCGCATCGTCATCATCATCATCATTCTCATCATCATCATCATCATGATCGTAATCGTCGTCATCATCATCATCATTACCATCAACATCAACATCAACATCAACATCAACATCATCATCATAACCATCATCATCCACATCCTCATCCTCATCCTCATCCTCATCCTGATGACCATCATCAGCAGCAGCCGCACAATCAGCATCAATCACAACACCACCAGCATCCGAATCAGCATCATCATCAGCAGCAGCATCACAATCAGCATCAGAATTATCAGCATCAGCAGCGGCATCATAATCAACACCCCCACCCCCACAACCACCATCATCAGCATCGTCGCCGTCGTCGTCAGCAGCTGCAGCAGCTGCATAATCACCCCTTCCACCATCCGCATCCCTACCACCATCAGCAGCAGCATCGCCAGCAACATCACCAGCATCGTCAACAGCAGCAACACAGTTATGATTGCCATTATCAGCATTATCCTCATGAGCATCAGCAGGAGCAGCAGCATGCGCGTGATCCTCCGCCATATCCTTCTCCCCCTCCTCCTCAC